CCATTAATCTTTGCAATAGCAATTCATCACAAATTCTATTTTCGTAACAAATTAAATATTTTGTTTTGCATCCTAATAACAAAGATCAAGTTATGAAATTAATGGCAAGCAAGAAACTCTAATTCATTGGAAATTCACGCTACACACTCTGAATGTCTAGAATTGTAAATTCAAATTGTTATTTGGGGTAAATTTTGAGTCAGTGGTAGTACTTAAATGGCCATGAGATTGGGCAGCCATTGCGAGTTCAAATTGTTCAAAAGAAATTGAAGGAAATGAAAGTATTTCAGGAGCTTTTCGATTTTTCCATTCTGGAATTGGATTGATTGCAGTTGATCCATCCAATCCTATATGGCTTACATGCTTCACATCTGTTGGCAACCCTATTTCCATTTCCTTTTCCTCCATTTCTTCCTTGAAAACTGAGATAAGTGAAAATGAAATCAATGAAAAACAGTTATCATAACTCTTTATTGTATGAACTGTAATAAGTGATATTTTTTCTATTGTAGAGTTCGTTCTTGCTATGTACAAAACATATTTTGACAGTATATTTAGTATGTAGAGTCTGGATGTTGATGGGTCGGTCCTAACTACTCTACTCATTTTGACACTCATATATCGGAGAAAATTTAGGGCATCGTGTAGATGTCATGTTAATTTAAGGTGGTTACTTAAATAGGGAAATACGATTACTATTTTAATATGAGAATATGAAATCTACTTAGGAAGTGATTATATAATGCTTGCTTGGTGGGATATGTAATTTAGACATGAAACAATAATATCAAGAAATCCCATAATGCATGGCGAGAATTTGTAGAAACGTGGATTCCAAGGGTCAATTGATTAATTAATCTCCATCTTCGGGATTAGCATTTAAATTATGTGGGCTGTTCCAACTGCCCAAGAGAGATATGAACGAACCCAAATGAACTTTTTTTATTTTCTAAAAAATAATTAAAAATGTTAAATCCAGTTGCTCGCAGGAACGGATTCAGAATCGGATTACAAGATGGGCTAATACGTAAAAAAAAAAATTACACATGAATTTATTTATTTTTTACATAAAAAAACCTTTTTTTATCTACCAAAAAAATTTCAGCTCCCATAAGACAAACAGACCATAATAATTATCATAGAACAAATATGATTTTTTCCATAAATAATACCAAACTTACCAAATACAAATTCCCTAACTTATTTTAGTATAAAAAATCTACTTCTTCCTATTTAGCCAAATTCATAAAATAATTATTTTGAGATAGAAAATTATATTGGCGCTTCTTCTACATTTTCCATGTTGATCTATCACTATTAACAGGAGCATTTTATACTAGGGTTTGTCTACATGTACATAATTTTATGTACATTATGTACATGTAGCATATTTCTTTATATTATCTCTACCGATAAGCAAAAGTACCTTTATATGTAAGAACCAACATGAATATACTTTTTCGGTGCAATTCAAGTTTCTCTAGTCATGCATACCAAATCTATCGTGAGAACATAGCAAGATATAAATACTTTTAGTTAATTCATGCACTTACCAAACATTTGAGAAAATCTTTTGAGTCGATTCATCAATCTATGTATGCCCTTGGAGAAAAGTGGTTTTGGAAGAGCCAAGAATCCCCTTCTTTTCTTCATTGATTTCTGTGTCGAGGGCTTTCCCTTTCCCTCCTTTTGTCCTTAAAAATGATGCACAATTCAAACAGCCAATGTGAGAAATAAATTCATTCGCAATAACTATACTCTGTGTGTGTGTGTGTGAGAGAGAGAGAGAGCATACTTGTTACGACCAAACTTGTGTCTGTAGTTTGGTCTATATATTTCTTTTCAGGTAATTGGGTGGTGCCAACTGCAACACTTAAGTCAGAATTACAGCCCATTGAGAATGGAATAAGTGCAACTTTTTCTAAACGATCTCTCATTTCTTAAATCCAAGCTTCAGACTCAACTATACAGAGAGATGAGAGAGAGGTTTAAAAATTAGGAGAGAGTGAGAGAGAGATTAAGAATCGTCCAAGTACAGACATCTGTACTTCTACTCTTATATTAGACTTTTGGCTTCATATATAAGATAGAATGATATTATTTTTAGAAATTCTACTGAAAAAACTTAAGTTTGGTGGGAAAAGTGAGAAATTGGAGTGGGGTGGGGTGTGATGGCAGAGTTTGAGTCTTGTTTGTATATCGATGATTGAGAGGGTTGGAGTAATTAGTCAGTTTAACTGTACAACTCAACCTACTTGTGATAATTAATTATCTAAATTAAGCAATTAGTTTGAGCCCACAAACCAACTTTTATCTTTAAACCTTCCTAACTATTCCCTTCTGATGGGGTCTACTCTATGATCAATGTGATTCTATCTCGTGTATGTTAAGGCACCATTTGACAGATGCATCTATCCTATATGTCTAAGTCCTCCAATCCAATTGCAAGACAATAAGTGATTTGAAGAGTGAAATGCAAGGTTCCATACGTATTATGATGGAAGAAGAGAAGGTTACATGTATGGGAAGATTAAATAGGGTCCCTTAAGAGAATTAGTACGTTTTGGACCAAATATTTTTGATGAGTGGGTCTTAAATCATTCATTTTAGGAGTACTTGTATTCTAAGCGGAGATGTACCCATCGAATTTGACCAATAAAAATCATTTTTAGCGGACATTATGTATAAATTTTAGTTGAAAATACTATTATGTCAAATAACGAATCACCTAAAATACTTCAAGCCTGGCTAATATTTAAAATAATAATAATAATAATTACACATGGAAAAAAAATTACACCGAAAAAATGAAGTAGGCTGGAGGCTGGACCGGACTACGGCCCGGCCCAATCCCCCCACATCTATCCTTATTTGTAGCAATATGGTTCATAATAAATATTTTTTTCACGAGAGTCAAATTATCATCATCAAGATATAATGCCACCAAATATACGTGCCTATTACTGCCAACATAACACATAACATCAAAGGTTAAAGAAATATTAGGGTTGTAATTTAGAAAGAATAACTTTAATTCTTCTTTCATCTAACTGAAGATCATAACACAATTGGCATTTTCGTCTGATATTTAAAAACTTGGCAACTAAACAAATTACCTTCGTTCCTAGAATATGATAATGAGCTAGTCATTACGTAAATTACATAGAATAATGCAACAAGAAACGTTAAAAATAGTTGCAAAAGATTTTATCTTCAAACAATTTGTGAAATTAAGAGAGTGACATGATCTAATGAGCACCGGTGC